TTATTATCACCGATTTACGCTTTCATTAATGTTTCCATTAATTTCTAAAGGGAAAATTTCGATAAGAAAATACGAAACCTTCCACGGTTAGCATGACGACAAGGTGACTCTAGTCCATGATCCGCCTACCACTGAGGATATTTTATGCCAGCACTGTGGTCAGTGCGAGCCGAGGGTGGAATTCGCATCGATCAGGGATTCGAATCCGCGTTACCTCATTGGGAAGTGAGCTCTCCTTCCCCTGAGCCACCACAGTTCCGACATCACTACTTATTTATTTGTAAATAGCTAAGAAATACCACAGAATTGGTTAATTTGATTTTGTATTATCCACGCAGATAAGATATTTCCTAGTGTTCGCCTTTACATTTTAATATATTTTTAGAATTCTTAACGGTTATGAAATGAAAAATTATGCATTATTAAAAAAGCAGGCCACCCTTAAAAAAGTAATAATAAATAAATAAATAAAGGAGAGACATAACAACTCGACTGGTTTTTTTTAATTTTTTTTTTATCGGGCTTTCAGATTTATTGGGTTTTTAAAATATTACATAGAGTAACTCTTTTTGGGTTTAAATCTTAATTTTTACTTCCAAAAAGAGGAATTTTAGTTTAAAAGTAAACATTCACAGAAAAATAATAATTCAATAATTCAATTAAATAGAAAATATCTTAAACTTCAGTGTAGTGGCTACCATCTTTTCCTGTAAGTATTAATAAAAGTTTCGTAATTTATTTCCTTCTATTGCCAGAGATAAAATCAGAACACAGTTACTGTGAAGTCACAGTTACTGTCTTTGTTAGATTGTATTCTATTGTTTTTGAAATTCACACAACAATTTACTTTCCTTTTAAATTTTTTTGTGAGTATTAAAAACTCGAACTGGTTTCGGTGTTTTAAACCAATTTTTTCTCACACAGATATAGACAGATTTTTTGTTTTTACATCTTCTAAATAAAAAGTTGTGATCTCTAAGGAGTTTAGTTTCTTTTACTTTATCGGAAAAGGATTCTAAAAATATATATTCAGAGTGGTGATGGCGAAATACCCTGCATAGGAATTTGAAATGTTTTAGATCGGAACATAAATGATAAATTCATTAAAAAACCATCTTTTAGTTATACAGCACTATAAGTTCCCAAAAATGAAAAAAAAATAATAATAGAAGAACTAAACCATTTGAAAACGTTACGGGAAAAAATTATTTAGAAAATTTTTTTTTTCTCAGAAAACGTGTCTTATTTTTCTCGAAAGCGTCTAAACAATTATGAAACTTAAAACTATGTAATTGAATTCATAATAAAAAAAATAATTAAACATCAGTGAATGAAATCAACAATAAAAGCAGGGAACAATAAATATAATTTAATTGTGAAAATATAAATTGAACAAAAACAATAATAAAACTAAAATACATTAAATCTTACAGTCCGTGAGCTTCAAGAAAATAACTTTATCACATTTAGCAACTACAATACCGTTCATTAACTAAAATCACTTTATTTATTGCACTCATAAAACCCTTAATACAACTCAATTCGTTTTATTTGATTTTGCTAACTTTAAAAATGAATCAATTCGCAAATAGCAATTAAAGGTGTATATTTTCCTCATTACTAAATTGCTGCTTCACCTTCAGTGATTCTTGCGAAATTTTATCTTTCTTTGCGAGATGATACTGAATGCGGGTACTTCGGCTTTTGAAGTAGAATTAATCAAACATATATTACTTTCAGACTATCTAGATTAAAATTCTTCATGCTTCTAAAGATATATCGAAGCCCGTTTGTTTTTAATCATGTTATGGGGTGGTTTTCCCCTTTCTGCTGTTTGATATTGGATCCGCAGTCTATGTATTTCTCCGAACTCAAAAGAAAAAGTGATTATTTTAAGAAAAACTAATATGTATACGTCATTAAAGTTTAATTTTATTTTACAACTGGAGCGTTGCTGACATAATTAGAAAATATTGGATTTATTTAAAAAGAAACGATATTCATTCAACGAATTATCTTAATATATTAAAAAAAAAAGTAAAAAGAAAGTTTTTTTTTTATTTTGCTTGAAGAAGATTTTTGTAAAACAATTTTATTTTCATTTCTATAAAATTCTTTTTGAGGTATTTGCAAATTTTATAAGACATAACTGTGTTAGAAATAAATTACATGATTTTTCAAAATTAGTCTTTATGTTTAAAAGTTAATTACCAATATGTTTACAATTTGTATCAATTTTAGTCCTCTATTTAAATTAATTGCATTTATTAGAAATGCAACATTATTTCAAATTATAAATGTAACATTATTTTGGACAAGCCCATAGCATATATTGATTTTATACTACAGTTAGAGAGTTGCTGAAATTATTAAAAGACATGATTTATTTAAAAAACTATATACATTCATCGAATAATTTTAAATAATAAAAAAATAAATGTGTAAGAATTATTTAATACGTTTGATGAAGATTTTTGTAAAATAATTTTACTTATATTTTAATGAAACTCATAAGATTACATATGAGTATTTTACTAGACATAATATAATGTAGACTAGTTAAAAGTAAATTACTCCTTGCAAAGTTAATTTTTACATTTAAATGTTAATAGTACCATAATTCTAGATAATAAAATCAAAATATAAGGTGTTTAAACTATTCATTAGGTAATTTCTCACTGAAAGCAAATAGCCTAGATACTATACTCGGGAATTCTATTATCCTTTGAGTTAGTTTAAAAGTTTCAAGAAAAAGAAGGTAAACTTTATTGTTTTAAATTCATAAACATGGATGATGGTAATTGGGTAATAAAATGAAGTCCTGATATTGAAACATTGTTTGCAACTTTTAAATTTTATTTGAAAATTAAAAAATACTAATATAAATAATTTATTTGGACGTTTTAATTCTTTAATAAAGGAATAACTGCTAACACTACATTTATTGCAAACGCTACATCTCATTGAATAGCTGCTAACACTACATTTATATAAAAGTTCAAAATTTCAAACGGCTATCAGCAATGCCATATATTTCATTTCTTCCACTAAGTCTAATAAATTATTAAAGCCATCTTACTAATCTACTACTGAAATTCTTGTTAGCATAACCTACCAAGCTATTATAATTGTTAAATCTCTGCTGACGTTTGAAGTGTAGATTAATTTACCCCTTCCACCAGATCTAGTGAAATCGATACTTGGATAACACTTATCAGCCTTAGTTATTAAACTATTTATGCTGATTGCAAAATCTTGGAAATGGAACAAGCATTTAAAGAGCGGCAACTAAGGATTTGCCACCAGTCTAGTTGATTAGAGTTGGGAGGACTATCTCTATGGGATCGGATTCATGTCGTCTTTATTCTGTTGCAACGATTTCGCCTGTCCTACAATTAATAACAACCGCTAGAACACAGTCCAGTCCCTGAAGGATTGTCCACGCGAAAGGGTAATGACAGACCTTTCGCAAGCACTTTCCATTTGGGCTGCGAGAATTGCAGATTATGTCCTTTCTACGGGATAGCTTAGCCGGTAATAAGCTCTCCTGACGTTTGCCCTTGTAATGAGCTCCAAGTACCGTATTCTGGATCGCATTGGGAATATTGTGCCTCGCTTCAACTTTAACTTATTGTTCGCTATCGGAGGTCCAATTTTCACCGTTAAATGCATCGGTTTCGTATGCTAAACGTCCGTTCACACTGACCACTTCAAACATTCACCGCCTCTTTGAGATGGCTATTCTCTTTACATAGATATCTGAATTGATTTCTAGCTATTCACATTTCTAATTGTTTCCTTCTCTTTATCTAGTTCATTTAAAATAAGATGGTGAATTGAATGAATAAGTGTTATATTCATTTATATTTTGTCAAAACTGATTTAGTTTTATTCTTTATTTATTTATAAGATTGTTTTTATTGCATCTTACTTATTTTATGCTTTTAAATATTTTTTTTTCTAAAGACAAGACAACTAAGTTAAATATAAACTATTAATTCCAAATAAGGAAATTATAATGCTAGAAATGTAACAAAAATGTTTTTCTAACGTTACATTATTATGCAGTTGAAGATGCATCGTGCATTTAAAAAAAAAAGCACAAAATTTTGTGTTTAAAAGTACGTTATGATCAACATTATCTGTACATGTATGTTTAAAAGAAAATCTTTTGTTTATTTGCGAAATTTAAAATCCTTTTATGGGAGAAAGTAAGCTTTTAAACAGCTTTTTACTGTTGATAGTTTTTGTTAATGAAATTCATGCACACAAATGTCTCTTAGCTACCTTCTTCAACTAGTTCATCAAAGTCTATAAAATTTTAAAATTAAAGACAATTTTTATTAACAAGAATTTTTCAATTATTTAATATTACACAATACGGCATAAATGATTGTGATGACATTATATTTATGATAATTAATAATATTAAGGTTTTTGATAATAATAATTTTGGAATGAGGTTAATAAATGCAGTGATGAAGAAATACAATAATTGATGGAATAAAAGAATATATTTTTATTTTAAGTGTAATTGATTGGAATAATCGAAAGTTACCTTTTTCTGTTTCATTTTTAAATGAAGGCCAAAAAGGTAAATATATATCAAACAAAATATTTAGAGTCATGCGCAAATTTTTTTAATATTTTGAGCTTGCTATGAGCCTTGAAAATTGGCATGCTGTAATGAAGCCAAATGGCGATGCTTTTTTGAGCTGTGGATCGAGTAGGTAGAGTAATTTTGAAAGGCGAATATTAGCCAAAAATGGATAACTTCTTAAATTATAATGGGTAAATGCCTTCATTAGAAGTACTCGGTTAACGAAGTTAAAAATTAAACAAGTAGAAGGAAATGGGCAAGGTCTTATTGAAATGTAGAGGCACATTACTGGGTGATTAAAAATTGAATATCTTTTAAGTGAAAGAAAATTAAATGAGTAAATATATAGGATTATAATTTCAATACGACAATAATGATTAATAATGTAATTTTGTTATAGGAGGAAGAAGGTCAAAAAACAAATAATGGTATTCACTACAGACTACAGCTGCTGTTCGCAAATGGTAAGTATACTATGCTATTTTATTTTTTATGTTTAAAAAATACACTAACTTATTTTATCCTTATCTCAAATTTGAATAAATAACTATACATAATTGATTGCTTACAGTAATGTTCGATGAGAAGTTCTCAAATCTATACAAATATTCATTATAATTTCGAATTTCATTTATGAAGCTTTATAAATTAAACTTGATTCAAGTTTTTTAAGATGTTTTTATTATTGTATAACAAGTCATATTTGTTGAACAAAACTCTTAAAAATCTGCTTCAAACTTATTTTTTAGTAATCAACTTTTGTTCATAGAAGGTAGAAAACAAAACGTAGATATACTTGAATCCCTCTTATATAAGTCAAATATATCTACCCAATTAAAATTTTAAAAATATTTTTATTAAGTTATTATAACTATAACTTTTCACGAAATATAAATATTTATCGAAAACTTACTAACATGTTTTAAAGAATAAACAGAAATAGGAATAAAACTGACAATGAAATCTTTCCAATTACTTGAAAAGTACATTTTGAATTTGAATAAATATGTAAAGATCAATAACATTAGATATTTACAAAACACGAAGAATAAGTTTTGCGTCGCCTTCCTTTCACTAAACAGACTTTCTTAATAAAAGCTTCGTTTCTTACACCGTCATTCATTTATTTTGTTCGAAGATACAATTCACGATATCAAAACCTATAAATATTTTAAGGTATATTAAGTTCTTCCCCATCTTCTATACTAATCACCATTTCCAACATCCTATCTTCTTTTCTAGTATTGACTCAAGGCATTTCTTAAGGCATTATACATTCTTTTCTCTCAACCCCCTCGATTGCAGACGATTGAGTAAGTTATGCGATACCACCCCTTACCACCCCTGAAAACGACCCAAGCCGTTTTGCGACAATTTTTGAAACTTTAAATAATTCAACGTTTCGCTACTACTTCTTATCAAATTGAGAAAACGTCATGATGGCGGGGGGATGAATATTAAAAGAGAATGTTCTTCTAGAAGATCATGAGAAACTGGGTGATTTTTCCGTCGCTATCGAATGAAGTAACAATGATAGGGTGCGTGAACAAAGCACTTTTTGAACCATTACCTCTCCTAGGGACACACCCTTTGCTCTGCTTCTACGAGATAGAATGAAGCCTGTTACTTTTGTAGTAATCTAGGGTACAGGTATCGGCAAAATGTCAGACGGTTCACAGTGAAGCCCCATTTGCTGCTTTGCTTTTTTTTCCCCATTCTTTTCGAAACTACTGGTCATGAAAACTCTTGAATAAGAGTCAGCTTATGTTCACTTCGGCGAAATTTTGTTTAAGTAATTGTTTCATTTGCAAAAAGGTGCAATTATTTATAGCAGCGGTTCCCAAATGGTGTTCCGCGTAACCTTAGGGTTCCGTGGAAAGTTCACTGGGGTTCCATAAGTTAATTTTTTTTCCCAATTATGATTTTTCGAAATTTGTAACTATATTTTAATTCAAACGATAATCTATAATTTATTTAATATTTCAGTTAGTTTTGTGAAATTATTTAAGTAAAATATCAATAAAGATAAACATAACAAAATTTAAATAGGTATATATACTTTCTAATAGCTTTATGTTGTTATAGGAAAATGCGAAAACGAAAAGGAATTATGAAAGGAATATGTATTACAAATAATTGTATCAGTATTTATCATCCAACCTTACAATTCAAAAGAAATAACCAAATTAAAGACTGAAGAATTTTTCTCTCTGATGACCATTCTCGCAGTTTATAACAGTTCTTTTTCAAAAACCATAATTCTACTTATTTTATTCAGTTTTAACTTACTCATACGACAAAAACTACTCAACTAGAAACTACTACAGACCTTCAAATTCAGCTGCCAAAAATAAAAACAAATTTTAAGATTGTTTTTGAAAAAAGAATGAAAAAGTTCCTTTTAAATTAGTTCGTAGTCTTTTCTTATTAGTATATTAAAAGTTGCTAACGTTCTTTATTCATGAAGTCGGGGTTCCACTAAGAGAAGCTCAACTATGTAGGGTTCCGTAACCGAGAAAAATTGGAAACCACTGATATATAGAAAGGTAGAGCGTTCATATTTGTAGCAAATGAAAAGGTGATTACAGACAATACATTATGCCTATTCTCTTAAATTTAATTTTTTGTGAAAGTAAACAAGATTATTTATTTTTATACATTTGTTTACGGTTCAAAAACATTCTATATTTGAGCTTTTCTTACTAACCCCTATTTTTGTGTAAATTCTATATTTTTTTATTTAAAACAATAATTTGCAACGCGAATGGGGTGGAGCAACTTAACTACTTACGTTTCCCGCATAAGCTAGTAAAGAGGTTCAACCGGTTCTGTTATATATAATCTGTTCTATTATTCTGTATATGTTTGAGAAATGAAAAACCTCTTCGCGTATTTCAGAACCGGTTTCGTTTATGATCAGAGCAAAAAGGAAGATTATATGAGGACGCTTTAAGCCCTGGCTTTATGATCGGTTAACAGTTAACTTAGCTACTTCATAAAATGAAAATTTTTGTATTAAATTTTTTTTTTCAAATGTAATTGGGGAACTAATCCTTACAAAAATGTTAATATTCCTTCACAATAATTGAAGATTATTTTCTTTTTTTTTCCATAATCACCCACTGAAGTAGATATAATTTTTGAAAAAAATGGGGGAAGATAGTAAAGTATTTGAAATACCTAAATTTGAACTTGATTTTCATGGAAAACTGACTTAAGCCACTTTCAAAATAAACTATTTATAGAGCCCTTTTTCATGCTACCAACTTAATTAAAATTGAAAACGTATGGCAAAAGCTTTGAATCTCATGTACATTAAATATTTGCACGTCGATGCTCTTAGCAACTATGCCATAGTTTCTTTATTAACCTTCCCAATAGTATTAGAAAAATATCTTTTCTCGTTGAGATTTAGAATAATAATATTCATTCAAAATAATAAAAGATTTTTCTTTTCCTAATCACCCACTGAATCAGATATAAATTTAGGGGGAAAAAGGGGGCCAAGACAGTAAAGTAATTGAAAGACTTAAAATTTAGCTTGATCTTCATAGATAACTGATTTAAACCACTTTTTTTTAAAAGAAGCTGTTTATTTATCGAGATTTTTTATATTAACAACTTAATTAAAATTGAAAATCTGTGACAAAAGCTATCACATAAACTATGTATCAATCTCATGTATATTAAATATTTGTAAGGTCGATGCTCTTAGCAACTATGCCATAGATTCTTTAGTAACCTATCCTATAGTATCGGAAAAATATCGTTACTCGTTGAGGATTTAGATTTAGGAGCCGATGAATAAAGAAGATGTGTTGTAAGGGAGCTACAATATAGGCTGTTACCATTAATCCCTTTCTTCTGGTAATACGTTGACCAGGGAATGTTATGGTCATCGGCAGACGGGTGAAGAAAGGTTGTAAACGGGTCTTTATGGGTATCTTTCTTGTAGAAGAACTAGCTCCTCTTGGGGTAGGATTAAATAAATGGCCACTTCCAACTGATCATTCTCTTAAGGACAATACCACCTTTTTTACTATGCTTTCATTCCATATGCTGTTTCACAACTTTTTATGTCCCTTCATTTTTTTTCTTCAAAGTATAATATTCAAACTGTTGATTCAAGTTTTGACTTAAAATATTATAAAATGCATGTTGTCCAACCAACTGCGTTGCAATTTGGTTTTTAACCAAAAAATTCTGAAAATGTTCAAAGCTATGTTATACTAAAACACTGATTGTTTTATTTTTACTTTTAAAGCAAAGAACTATTTGAAAATGTTCAAAGCCATGGTATACTAAAATACTGATTGTTTTATTTTTACTTTCGAAGCAAAGAACTATTTGAATATGTTCCAAGCTATGTTATACTAAAGCAGTATGCTTGTACTATTTAAAAATATTATGGACAACATGTTATCCAAACACTGCATTTCAATTCGCTTTTTTACGGAATGAACTATTTGAAAGTTTTTAAAGCTATGTTTTACTAAAACACTGTTTGTTTTGTTTTAATTTTTGACGTAAAAACTATTTAAAACTACTCAAACTATAAAAATGCTAATATACTGCTTTAGCAGTTATTCAAATCGCAAGTAATGGTAAAGTACTATGACATACATAATTAGGAAAACTATCATATTAATATTATTGCCATTATATAATTTCATATAAGAATATACTAACCAAGTTTCATCTGGCCAACATTCATTAAACTGACTAAGTGTTTAACTGCAAAACTTTGTACAAACCAAGAAAATACTTAATATAATGCTGTTCTTTGTTTTAATAAATGATTAATAAAGAATAATTTTTGTTAAAAATGCTTATTAAAATTTACAAACTAGGAAGATTGGAAATAAAATAATTCCTCAAAATTTAAGCACTGAACTAAGCATTTAAGAAAAATAGGAACCGTGTTTTAAATAAAAATGACGAAAACTAACGAGTATTTTTATGAAATGCAGGGTTTACCAAGCAGCCAAGACTATGACACTTCCAAACAAACATAAACGTTCACTTTTTTTTTGAGGAAAAACTTCAATGAAAATATTATAAAAAGATAGTTCAATAAAATTTTACAATGCAGCTTTAGAGAAAAAGGCGCAAAACTATATTTTAATGACAATTAAAATAGATGCTTGTCGTATAATTTTAAATATCTGTATTATTCGCTAAAGTTGCTAAAACTACGACACCTAAAAGTAAAATAATACACAGAAAAGAAGAAAAAAAGCATGTCTTAGCCGAAAATGATATCCATGTAAAATAATCACGGCAAAGAAAAATTCAATTAAAAATTAAAAAATTAGAAAGAAAAAAACAGTAGTTCTACATACTTGGAACATTATACTAGCATGTGGTGCTGTCTGTATCTATTTCAGTACTGCTTAAGCAGAATATGCAAAGATATTGAAAGAAATCAATTTTTATTCAAAAGTATTGTTAAGTGTTAGTTTTT